GCTCCCAAGGAGCAGGGAGCCTGATGCGGGACTCGATCCCAGAACCTTGGGATCATGACCTGAGCCAAAGGTAGACGCTTAACCATCTGAGCCACCCAGGCACCCCTTATGTAGTCTTTTTAAATATTCTAGTTTGTTTTTTTATAATAAACATGCTTTTTAATTAGGGGAAAATGCAAAGATTAAATAATTTTAAAAGGAAATTACCTCATAATCGGGCATATCTGGATGGTTTAATAGATTTGTGTTCCTAGAACACAGAGGTGCTCCTTTGGACAGTGCTTCCTATTGTCCATTGTGAGGGATTGTCTTTAAAATTAGAGTTGATTAGAGTCTCTGGCAGCACTTTTGGAAAATGCAATCTCTCTCTACTCCCTATAAACTTAGTTCTGCCAGCTTCCTTGACAGTGGGTAGGGGACAGGCAAGTGTACCATTTCCCTAATATTACATTAAGCTCTGGTGCTCCTCAGTACATCTGCCTCTTTCATTGTACCCCCAGTGTGTGTATACTCATAAAGGCTATGCTTTTTGCAAACCAAATCAGCCATACTTTTCTAACACAACAGATGCCCACATTATTGTCAAGTTGTCTCACTTCCCAAAGGTGATGTGATCAAACCATACTTACCTACAGACACCACAATCCTGGAAGGGAATGCAGAGCATCAAGATGAGAAGAGTTTGCTCTGATAAGGCACATGGAGACTCCCATTCTAACCTGTTTAATAGGCAGACCTCCTGCCCCCATGGTTCCCATCCTGCCACTGTTTCCACAGATCTTCCACATATGGAAGATCTAAATTCAAGAAGGCAGTATATTTTTCTCTTTCAAAAAGATGATTCCAAAGTTGTTTAAATTAAAATATATAGGAAATATCTAGAAAGCTCCAGGACGAAGCAAAGGCATGAGACTTAAGAATGACATTTAACTTTTAACTAATATTTACTTGCTCAAATCTTTATAATTTTTAATTACAATTCTTGTTGAGGTCAGTAGTATTCCCATTTTATAGATAGGAAAGCTAAAGTACAGAACTACCACATATGTTAGTTGTGAGAAGTAGGATTGAAATGTTGATTGTCAGCTGAAGTATTGCTTCCTTTGGTATATAACTCGTTTTTCTTCATGGTCATGTTTTGAAAAATGGGGTTTAGTAACTCAGATTTTTTTACTTAAAATATTAAATTACTTATTAAAAGAGAACCAATATTAAGGACTAAAGTTCAAAATAGCACTTCACCTTAATCTCTTTCAGGTTAGTCCTTTAAGATGTGTATATTTTTTAAAGATTTTGTTTATTTGACAGAGACAGTGAGAGAGGGAATACAAGCAGGGGGAGTGGGAGAGGGAGAAGCAGGCCTCCTACAGAGCAGGGAGCCCGATGCGGGGTTCGATCCCAGGACCCTAAGATCATGACCTGAGCTGAAGGCGACCCAGGCACCCCAGTCCTTTAAGATATTAATTACTTTGGTCTTATGTGATATAGTCAGAGGAATGTCAGCTTAACTTTAATAGTGATTCCAACAAAATAACTTTCAGCATTCCAGGTACACAAATAAGCTTATTTTTTAATGAAATTATACTAAAAATTCAGTACAAAGGGTATAAAAATGATACTGCTTAAAATACTAATAATTCATTACATTCATAAGGGTGTTTTGGTTTGTTTTTCTGTTGTTTTTTATGGATTTTTTTTTTCTTTTTAACAATTTTCTTCAACATCCTTGTATTTAACTGCAATAGTATTTATGAGGTAGACAGGACCAGGGTTGTGGGCCTGGTCTTATAGAACTAGAAACCAGGGCTCACAGAGGACATTGGTGTGGAGCGAGGCCTGGAGTCCAGCTCTCTGGTCACCTACAGGAGCGTTTACTCCACTGCACGTCTAGGCAGCAGTTCAGTGGTTTGACAGACTGTCCCTCCAGCCTCCAAAGTGGATGCTCTAAAGACCTAGATTAGCAGGGTATTTTAGGTATAGTTAGGTTACAAGTTAGACACCTGGTGATTAGGTTCCCATTTGTGCCTGATTCATTTGAGACCAGGTACTCATTGATACACACAAGATGTCCAGTCTGTAAAATGGAAATAACCTCTTCTTCCTTAGATTGCCCAAGGGCACTGCTTATGGGCCAAGTGGCAATTTGTAACAAAGAGAAATTAGAGCGCCTACAACATGTGAAACACTGGACAGGCGCCATGACCCAAAGTCATCAAGCAGTTGGCAGTGGTGATGCTTGCTGACTCCTGCTTTGTCTGTCTCAGTAGAGGCCAAGACATTTTCTTTTTCTTTTTTTTTTTTTAATGTTTTATTTATTTATTCATGAAAGAGAAAGAGAGGCAGAGGCAGAGGGAGAAGCAGGCTCCCCGCCTAGCAGGGAGCCCAATGTGGGACTCGATCCCAGGACCCTGGGATCATGACCTGAGCCAAAGGCAGACGCTTAACCATCTGAGCCACCCAGGAGGCCAAGACATTTTCTTTAACATCTTGTCCATTCCTGAATTGTTCTTTAAGAAACAATGATTTCTCCTCTAGCCCTCTTGCTGGCAGAATGAATTTACCAGCATGATCACCAGCATGCAGCCAGAATGTGCCCCAGGAAATAAATGTAAGCTGAGGAAGTTAACAGGACAATGTTAGCATGAGGGGCTGTGCTTCTTTACTCCATAAACCTTCACTCCTCACATTTTGTTTTTGCTGTTTATTGCCCTTCTTATTTTGAAAATTTCAAATTTATGGAGAAGTTAGTGGTTGTGGTGGTGGTGGTAGTCAAATGAACCTGTGCATATCCTTAACGTAGATGAATGATTATTAAGATTTTGCCACATGTCTTTCATTCTATGGTGGTGGCGTGGGGGGGGGGGGGGAGTATGTGCTAAAGTATTTGAAAGTAAATTGTAAACATCATCGCATGTTATCTCACAATACTTTACTCAGTGTGTCCTAAGAACAAAGACATTCTCTCATGTAATCAGTACCATCGTCGATCTAAGAGATTGAATAATAATTCCATAATATCTCATCTACAGTCCTTATCACATTTCCAGTTGTCCCCCAGATTAATTTTATAGGGTCCAGGACCTAATCGAGGTTTGCATTTGCATTTAGTTCTTAGGCCCCTTTAGTTTCTTTCAATCTCTTAGTCGCTTAATCTCTTTTAGTCTATAACACTTACCCCTGTGTTAAAAGGGGGGGAAAAAGTTTTTCAGAGAAGTTTTTTTTGAAGAGTCCAGGCTTGCTGTCCTATAGAAAGTCCCACATTTTGGGTTTGTCTGGTTTTTTTTGTTTTTGTTTTTTTCCATCATACTTCTATTCAGATAAAACTTTTTTTTTTTTGGCAAGAATATTACATAGATAATGTTATATAATATTTATTATGTCCTGTCAGGAGATAAATAAGATTGAGTGGTTCCATTAATGAGATGTGCTAAATTTGATCAATAGCAGATCCCTTGGGTAAGTCCAAATTTAATGTTGTAGGTTTCTTTGACTAGCCATATAGCATTGTTTCAATTTTTTTAAGCATGTATTATCAATAAGAACAATAAATATTTCTGGTTTAGAAATAATGGTCAGTAGAGAATGCTACTAAGAGTGTTTACCTTGTGTGCCCTTTATTCTTTGAATAAATACCCCAAAGAGCCCTTACTCTGAACATTTCCTCCTGCCTGCCTTTTTATGATTATGCTTGAAATTTTTTCCAATAAGCTGCTGGTGAGGAGCAGCTCTAGAGGGAGATAAGAATAAACATTTATGGAGGGAGAATAACAGTAGTATGAATACTTACTGAGCCATTTCCATGTACCATGGCACTGGGCTAAACACTTTGTGTGGATTGTCTGCACAGGAACCCTATTAAGTGTAAGCAGCATTGTTTCCCCATTTTACTTAGGAAGCTTAGGCACAGAAAGATTGAGGATCTTGCCCAAAGACTCACAGCAAGTAAGTGATGGAACTAGGGTTCACACCCAGGGCTGACTAAACCTGGAGCCCATATCTTAGTTACTATGTATGTTCTGCTACCGTATTGTGTGCCAGGTATCATACCAGACACCATCTTGTACATTTGCTTGTGTAATTCTCACATCAACCTGTAAGAAACCGTCTCAATTAGATGAAGTTACTTACCGAAGGGCATATGGTATCGTTTATCCTATTTTGTGGTTCTCTCCCATGTTTCAGCCAAGATCTTTAACAGCAGAGTGGTTTATCCAACGGGGTCCCTTTTCCTACTTCCCAGCACCCACATAAGCAGGAATCATGTGCTGGAAATGAAACCAGGTGACAGAAGCAGCTGCACAAGCAAGAGAAGCCTGATCGGGTCCACATTAACCAGATGACAGGAGTGAGAGCCTTCAGTTACAATTCGGGGACCATCAGTGAGAAATGGGATGACAGTGAACCTGAAATAAAAGTTGTTGAAATAAGACTGGTCTTCCAAGGGAAAGCGTTTCCTTACCGTCTGCCCTCTCACTAGAGAGGATGTGGCAGTCTTGTTGTTTGAGTAACTTCAAACCAACGATCAAAGCCATGAAGAAATTTCTGAAGGAAAGTGTGATTGCTTATAGTTTCTGATGCCCACTATTGATTTCTTTTTGAGAATTTTTTTCCATACCATCACTGAGTCTATTTATAATTCTAGCATAAGAAACTGAGAGAAGTGGAATGAAAGAGAGTACCATGACCACTTTTACAGGCTTTTTGTGAAGATTAAATTCACACACATGCAGTGTAGCGGGAGTGCTGACACGGAGTAGGGATTCAGTATGGAAGTTACTATTATATGATTACATCATTGCATTTTGTGTTCTCACATGATATGGTCCTGGGAACCTTACCAAATGAGGACATTTGGCCCCTCAGCTCAGGAAGACAAGCATTCCAGACACTGCCTGGTTAGTACCTAAGTTAGAGACTAGAGCTCCCCTAGGGACCCTCTCTGGTGCTGGCAGGAGGCTCCTATTGCCATGGCGTCTGTCACATCCATCTTTCTGTTCCAGGTGGTTAGCTCAACCAATGGAGAGCTGAATGTCGATGACCCCACGGGAGCCCACTCCAATGCACCAATCACAGCTCACGCCGAGGTGGAGGTAGTCGAGGAAGCTAAGTACGTTCATCTTTCAAGGGGGCTTTTGAGTCCTGGGTTGAAAAATCTTCTCTGTCTTTTCCTTTCTGTGTGCTGCTCATCTCAGACTGGATTCCTCATGCTTGTGTCCTCAGCTTTCTTCCTTTGACCATTTTATTTTTTGCATGGTACCTTAAGGCTGCTTCTGCCCTTCTTTAGCTGTGATTTCTGGGAAGACCATCACATTTTTCTAGTCCACATGGGGCAAAAGCCCTAGTGAACTGAAAGAAGCATGGTATAAGAGGTAAAACGGATAGTAGTCATGAGCATCTTGGGTCCCCTGAAGCTTCTTGCTCCCTGTGGGATACAAAGAAAAATCTGCTTATCTTAAATCATGGGCCATACTGAACAGCATTTGATTTCTGGTTCTTGGCTTAAGAACTCTGCATGTATAGTCCTGGAGCCAAGGGTTATAGGGCCATTGTGTTCTCATTTAAATGATTCTGGACTCAGAGAAACTCTGGTAAGTCAGGCAAGATAGTTTCTACACCTGTGAGGAAGAGTCTTGGGAGGAGAGGAAATCACCCTATCGGGGAGGGGTGAGTCCATTCCCTTTTCTGCTCCTCTTGCCTGTGAATGTGTTGCCCTACCCGTACCACCAGCCCTTGGTGCTCTCTGCATGGCGTGTGGTTAAACTCTTAGCATATGGGGTAGAAGGGGGAAGGGCTGCCAGTTCTGCTGCAACAGCAGCATTTCTATCACTTGTTTCCCTTTTTCCCCATCCCAAATTCCAATCCAGACTTAAACTCCAAGAAGACATGAGGTAGGGAGAGAGAAGTCCTTTACAAACCAGTAACTGCTGCCAAGCCTGATATGGATGACCTTTCTTATAAACCCTTTGAGAATATTCAGGCTATCCCAGTATCTTGTTCTCAGAAGCAGACAACATACGAATAGTGACACTGTGTCCCAGGTGCTCTCTTGGGCCCCCACATGGCCTCAGTATCCGCCAGAATGTGCTTACACCTCTGGGTGTGAGGTGGTGGGAGGCCAGTCAAGACCTGCATTCTTTCTTCCAGCTACACTTTGCACGCTTGTCTCCTGCCCATCTGTATGATCAGCTCACTTTGCTTCCAAGAGGTCCTTGCCTTGGAAAGCCAGGATTTGGGGATTCCTACCCAGGAGATAAAAAGCAACTCAAGGATGACTTGGACTCTCTTGTCAAGTCCCTGCTGACCGTAAGCAGCTTCAGATGCTCCTCTCCTGGTTTCTATAAGGCCCTGATAAGTAAGGAAGGCAGGGGGAGTTTTTAATGCCGGGAAGAGACCATTTTTAGTAAGGAAACATGCTCTCTATTCTCAGAGACTTTGGAGCTTTTAATGGTACTCTCGGTTTTTCAGCTTCCGTGACAAATTTCATTCTCCCAAATAAAGAGTATAGTACTCCTTATCCTCTGGGTTCTCAACCTTGGCTGCACTTTGGAATCACCGGGGGCGTGTTAGAAGGTATATATCTGAATCCTGGCCCCAGAGATTCTGATTTTATCTGGGGTTATGGCCTGAGCATCAGGAAATTTTAAAGTTCAGATAATTCGAATGTGTGGCCAAGGTTGGGAATCAGGGCTCAGGGCACTAAGCATGTTCTGGTTTAAACATTGTCTGGGCTTGAAAGATGACTGTCCCCATTCCCACCCCACCTCACTCCCAGTTCATGTGGCTATTACTTTGAAGGCTAGGCATTTAGTTCTGGATTTAATAGTGTACTTTGAATACCAAGATTGAATGGGCTTTCATCTTATAGTATGTCTTATACAGGTTTATCTTTTGAACCCATTCTCTCACTTCGTTTTGGTAAATGTGTACACTGATTGTGTATGTGAGTGTGGTGTCTGTGTCCTGTGTGTAAAATATGGGGCCGTTCACACAAAGAGATTGCAATGTGGTGAATTCTGTTCTGGTATATTCTAAACTCTAGGACGTGAAGAGCATTTAAAGTCTCCCCATTTAGTGAAAAGGACTACTGAGCCTCTTTGCTGCCTGTTCCAGGTTTGGGCCTTCTGAAATGTGTGGAAACCAGAGGGGAGCAGTTGTATTTGCCCAAATGTCTTCCAAAAGCTCAAAGCTTAGGGCATTTTGTGTGCTGATTCCCCTAGTAATCTCATGAGCTACCAATCCGTCTTGCCCAGGGAACTCTCAGCACAGCTGTGTGTATCTCTTCTTGGCTGCCTCTGTGTTTTGGAGGGAGGGAGAGGTAGCCATGAATCCACCTGCTCTGCCATTTTCATGGGGAGAAGTCACAGCTAGAGAAGCATGAGACGTCCCAAACAACCCTCATTGCACGCAGCTGTGATGCCCTTTGTCCATGCAGCCTGCTTGTGGGAAAAAGAGGGCTGTTGCCTATGTTAAGATTCAAGCAGGGACTGGGGAGATACATGAAACCTTCGCTTTCAAGCTTTTGAAAAAGTTTAGGTTCCTCACCCAGCTTGTTTTTGTAAAGGAGGAGAGAGATAACAGGGTCTTGGGTTTTGTTCTGTATACGAAACGAACATCTAACTGCCCTTTTCTTCTGCTTAGGACCCATGTCCTTGTTTAAATATGATTGGAAGGGGGTAGTGAGGCAAGGCAGCTTTTTGGTTGATTTTTGTTATGGTAAAAATAGGAGTTCTTGGTTATCCATCGACTTTAGCTATAACTTAGCAATTTCTCCTGGGAATTAACAAGAATGGGATGTAGGCCCTTATCTGAGCAGTTTTACCTTAGTCCAGAGCAGTGACCCTTCTTGCTCTGCTTCAGCTCCTACTAAAATAAAGTGTTGCTGAAGCCTTCTCCCCCCCCCCCCAGAGGAAGAGCTAACTACCAGCTGCTTTGGTCAGGCATGTCGGATTTATAGAAAGGCTAGCGACTTCTCTTTCCCTCAGAATGGTCAGGAGGTCAGCTTCACACTGTACAGTAAGACTTTGTGTGGGAACCAAAATGGCTCACTTGGTGCTTGATTGAATTCTTACAGGCAGGATCGTTTCCTCTTTCTCCTGCTACCTTACTGGAAATTGCCCAGGAAAACCCACTCTGGGGCTCCCACCAACTCTTTCTGTTTTACCTTTCCCCTCACTGAGATGTCCCGCTCCCTCCTGGATGCTTCTGTCAGGCGCCTGCCCTCTCCACTTTAGTGTGGGGGCCAAGTGGCCTGGGTGTACTCACGCTACCTTGACAGAGGAGGAAACAAAACGCAGACACATACTGCATGTTTGCATGGCTCACAGGGAGTCGCTTCCGCCTCACCTCTGTGGACTAATCTCTCTCTCTTTCTCTCTTCCTTTCTGTGTTTTTCTCTTTACACACTCTGTAGCTGCCTGAAAATGCTCAACCTGTGGTGAGTCCCTCTCTCCAGTCCACATGCTAGGGGAGCGGACCAGACTAGGCTGGGATTGGCACAACCAAACAACATGCCTTAGGAACACTCAATGGCTTCCATACGCCGCCTTGTGCCATAACCACCCAGACTGGGGAACTAGATCCACAAGGTGGGGATGGGGCAGGCCTACACCCAGGAATTAATCTGTTCCTTCTTTCCTTCCAAACCCATCTCATCGCTATCTCCTCCTGGTGAAACAACATCCCACAGTATCCAAAATTCCCTTTCTATGTTTAGCTGAGTGAATTGTCTCCCAAATTACTAGGCCAGAGATGATCAGACAGAGAGGGACAAGAGCAGGAGGACAAGGTTACTCTATCAGCTGTTTAGATTATCATTCACAATGCCAAGGGCAGTTGTTGCCAGTTAATCTCACATTCTGTGGCTTGGTCTCTCACCTGCAAATTGGCAGCTTTGGGAAAAATCCATGACTTTTCTTTTTGATTCAGCTGGTTCTTTCATCTATAGAATGAGTCTCTCAAAAGGAGCTCCTTCTTGGGGGGAGAAATGGACATTTTGTTCTTGTTCTTTTGGGGGGGGGGTTTTGTTTGTTTTTCATTTATTGTCTTTTTTTTTTTTCCTGTCAGAGTATATTCAGTGGGTCAGGGGCTTACTCAGCTAATGAGTTATTGGAGCCTGTCTTTTCTGCTCCTGGAAAAGGTTCATTGAATGCATTCTTAGGAACAACAGGAGCTACGTGGGAGGGGAAGCCCTAGAGAATCCACATTCAGTGAGGCACATTCTTGCTACAAGAAAGAGCCCCCTCGCCAGCTTGCTTCTCAGCTGCTGCCTGTGACCTTCCAGGTACTCCTGACCTAGTTGGTCTGTTGCAGGCTGGAATGAGAACTCCCCTACATCGTCTGCATGCATGGGGTCATGTTCTACATGGTGATAACAGCCTGCGGGGTTCTGTGATCACTTTGTTTCTGTTTGTCTTCAGGGACTGGGTTGTACACCAGTTTCTGAACCCCAGCGGTATAAGCCAAGTTGCCTACAGGGTTTCTCCAGGGACAGGGCTATGTGGAAGATAACAAATGGGTTTTATGGAAATAGAATTTGTAGCCTTGTACTGAGGAGTACATTTGGCCTGTTTATCTAGCAAACATGTCTGTGTAAATCTGACATTGTCATAGTCTCTGTTGCCCTGTGAGATGTCAGTCGCATCATCCTGACTGCAAATACAGGGCCTGCTGTGTGCGCATGCAACTCTGCTTGGAACTCTAGGAGGTTCCCCTAGAGCTTAGGTACCATCTGGCTTATGTATTCCAAAAAGCTTAGGTGCCATCTAGCTGTTGTAGAGCCAAGACATACATACTTGAAAGGACAAGTAGTTCTCCAGGACACTTGTTATTACCCCCCAAGAGGTCACTGTGGACAGGAATGGTCAAGAAAGGCTTCACGGATATGGTGGGGCTTGAGCCAGGTATTAGAGCAAGGGAAGAATGTGAAAGTACACTCAAGAGGAGAAGCGTAGCAAAGGGATAGCTGAAGGGGAGGGGGCCAGGACGTAGCAAGAGAGCATTGTGGGCAAGGTCATGGCTCACAGGTCTGGGCAAAGAGCACGTGGTGGGGAGCTCACAGGTCTGGGCAAAGAGCACGTGGTGGGGAGCTCACAGGTCTGGGCAAAGAGCACGTGGTGGCTTGTGAGTGGGGAGACTGGATTGATTCTGACTCCATCATGTTAAGAACTTCTGGTCATCCAATCAAAGAATCGACTGGAAGAAAACCTACAACACAAGAAGCATTCATCATCACTCACCTTCCTTCTCTTCAGAGAGTAAGACATCTGTATGGAGTTAGTCAGTGGGCTTGGTCTGGGGTGTGGGGCCTGTTTCCTCGTGGCTAGAAGTATGAGAGGCTTCCGCTCCCGCTGAAGTGTTCCATACTGTAACTAGCAAAAACTCCTCCAGGCCTCAGAACCGCAGCTCCCACTCCCCTCCAGTCAGGTGAATTCGGCATGGCACATCAGGTTATGATGTGCTTGCAAGCAGACGTTAATTCTTAGGACTTGCCTTGAAGGAGGTAAAATAGTATAATTTGAAATGGACCAAAATAGTATTTCAGACTTCATTGTGATTGCTTTTATTAAAAACACAAAATCCTCATTTTAGTATCCTCCAAAAAAAAGAAGAATAGAAATTGACTTAAATGTTAGTGATGTCTCTGAAAATCATGGTTAACAGGGAGCAGGTAACTCCATTGAAATACTGGTGCTCCCATGAGATTTAATTTGCCTTGTTTAATATTAATTTCAAGACTTTCAACTTGGAAATGTCCATTTTCTAAAACATATATAATAGAAAAAGACCATTTTTTTTCCCTTTGAAGTCTTCTCCAGGGAGAAGACGATCTTAAACAATCAAAAGTATTGGTTATTTTTATTTAAAAGAGTTTATTCAGTCTCCAAATACACATGCCACTTTGTTTAGTGACTATATTCACACCCATTAATAGTATTTCATGGGGCACCTGGCTGGCTCAGTCAGAATGTGGCTCTTGATCATGGGGTCATGAGTTTGAGCCCCGTGTTGGGGGTAGAGATTACATAAATAAATAAACTTAAAAAAATAGTATTTCACAAAAGTCACTGATATCCTCAGAAAAATCTTTTTTAAGACCCCCTTAAGAAGCTCCTGTTTCCAAAATTTTCATGTTTGATACATCTTGATACAGTTAAAAGTTATCATTACCTGTATAAATGTCCGTTTCTGCATTCTGAGAGAATTTTTAATTTTTAATAACCTGTGTGTGCTCCAAACTTTTAATAACCTGTCCATTGGGTGTCAAAATACCAAGGGGTCAGACTGAAAAAAGAGAATCTTAACTACAGTGGAGAATTTGGGGACATGGGAAGTAAGCAACAGTTTTTCATTTTCATATGAATAGCCCTAGCATTAAACCTAGAGGGATTTAAGCAAGAGAAGCAGATAGAGTTTTCTCTGAAAAGCTTTCCTTTCAAGGGTCAAGTTTGCAGCCTGACTCCCCTCCACCATCTAGCATCTTTGACTCATCCACACCTTCTGGCACTCACATCCTCATTTCCAATGTGTCAGCTTCCTGGGAAGGACCTCTCTCCTGCACCAGCGACGCCACTGCCTTCATCACCCCCTTCTGTAGTTAGTCACTGTCGCAGCGAGAGCTGCTCCCCATTCCAGAGACAGGAGTAAGGAGGGGTGCTTGGGCTCAGGGCTATTGCCCAGGGAGCAGCACGTGGAGCGCGGGTGAGGGGAGTAGGCCCTGACCTCCACCCTACACAAGGGCCGGTCCTCCAACCCTGTCGGGCCCAGCAGTGGCAGTCTCAGTAGCTAAGCTGAGGACCCTGCAGCCACGTGCTTGCCAATGGTCAGCTTTCTGGGCTTTGGCACCGGTCCCCTCCAAACCAAAAGTGGGCTGTGCCGATTTCAGTCAGGGGATCTAGGCTCACTGTTCTTACAAGATTCGGGGTTCCACCTGCCTGCTCTGGGTAGCTGGGTGGGGTGGGGATGGGGATGCGGGCTGGAAAGAATCCTTAATCCTTCGTTGGCGGCATCATGAGCTTCTGCTAGAATTCCAATCATATTTTGTGGGGGATTTGTTTGCCTCGGTTTAGCTCCATACCTGCCGGCTACTGAAGCAGCATTCAGTCATTTTGCTCTCTGTCTCAAGGGGCCAGCAATGCAGGCTAGTCTTAGGTAGCTTTGAGGACCCCCAGCCTTGGTTTTAGATAGAGATGAGCTATGTGGGCTGAGTGGGAGACTGGGAAACAAGCCTTCTTCCTCCTTCTTCCAAAGATGCCTGTTTTGGCCCTGCCTAGCCTGCAGCCTTTTGATGATCAGGTTTGGTAGCTGCAGATTGAAATGAAGCAGCTATTGCCTTTGGCTTTCCTGGCAGACACTGCCCACTGCTTCCAGGGTGTGCGCTGAAGACGGGGGTGGCCCTGTGGGTGGGTGCCAGGGGGAAAATCCACCCCCCCCAGCCCCCACAGTCAGCAGAAGCAGGCAGAAGCTGTTCGAAGGTGCAGGCCTCCCACACTGACTTGCCATGTTACTTGTGCTCCAGGTGCTGTTGTTTCTTCAAGAGGAAAAGGAAGAAGACTGCCCAGCGCCACAAGTGACCAGTGCCTCCCAGGAGTCCTCAGGCCCTCGATTGCACCTGCAGCTCCTGCCATTTTTCATTGGAAGGGACTCCTCTGTGGGGGAGGGTGGAGATCCAAACCAAAAAGAAGAAAACAGAGGCCCCCAGAAGGAGCCAGTGCGGGCGGCCAGGGCCCGGGGGGGGTGTCAGTGGCCACCGCCGCCTGCCTAAAGCTCTGAGCAGGTCCCAGAGCGGCGGCCCGTCCACTGCTTGCCCCTGCGGCTGCCTGGTTGACTCTCCTTCCTATTGTTTACAGTGAAGGTGTCATTCACAAAAACTCAAGGACTACTATGCTCTTCCCTCGTGTAGTTTACTCCTGGTTCTTGCCCCACCCTCAACCCTCTCCAGCATAAAAGCTAGTGCATTAAAGGCTATGTCTGCTGAAGGAACTCCAGAGGGTGGGGGTGTGGCCAAGAAGGCAAGGGGAAGATGGCAGGCCTGGGCAGGAGAAGAACCTTCTCCAACTACCAGGCGTGCCTGGCAGCAAGGCTCCCTCCTCTGTGCCTGTGCAGCCTCCATCCCCAGCTGGCCACGGGGTGCAGGTTCCTCCCTCCCTCCCTTCTTCTGTGAAGTTACACTGTCGGACACAAGCTGTGAGAAATCTGCAGTCTACTGTCCCCGCGTGTTGGCATTCTTCGCTCTCTTGACAAGCGAACTCTGTTCTCCAGACGGTAGTAGGACAATGCAAATTGTTCTGATCAAAGGAAAAAAAACTGACTTTATTGCACTTTTAGTTGTTTTTTGTTTTGTTTTGTTTTTTAACAAAAAACACGGCAGATGCATATTGTGTCTGGTTATATCGGGAGTTTTACTTTTTTCTGTTTTGAGGGGGATGGGGCCAGCCAAGCCATTCAGAGAGAACATGGGTCCAGAGGACATTCTCAGTGGAAAAAGTTGGGTCTGCAGCACCCAGAAGAGAAGAAGCCAAACTCTGTGTCATTCTGAGTAAACACTCAGGTTGGCAAGGAAACATACTTGAATTTTCCTCATCTTCTCAACTGCTGAAGAATGTCCCTCCCAGAGCCTCTTGACCTCATCAGCCTACAGTTTGGACTGCCTTGCTCTCCAGCACATGGGATAAGCCAGACTGTGACCAGGAGAAGATGTTTGACAAAAAAATTGGAAATAATCGGTTTCCTCCACTGCCAGGGACTTCCAACTAGATAGCCATGTGACTTCCTTAGTGACTTGGGGGACAAAATTCGTGATGAAAGAGCCACCACCATATTGCCACTAGTGGACAAGAAGAAGAGGAAAGTGAGCCTGCCTTCCAACTGCCAGAAGAACCTCAGGATTTGGCATCATAGGGCCAGTGAATAAAACCAGTGTGTACTGTCTGCCCCAGTAGCTGAGTGATAGCATTTGGTCTGGCCTGCCTTACCAGAAACCAAGCACCTGCAGATCTTCTTCCAGTAGGTCCACAGCAGCAGGCTCCAGACTGAGCATGTGGAGCTGTCGTGAACAGGAGGATAAGATTGATTGGTGCTGGAAAATTCCAGGGGAAAGGATATTGAAATGAAAGGTCTGAAATTATTTTCTCAATTGGATGTAGACTCCTTCCAAATAAGATGGCCGCATATCGAGAGCATGTTTCCCCAGTCCACTATTTGCCTTCCCATGTGGGATGGTCACCTAACCTACTACCATGAAGGGTCTTGATTCTTCATTCACTTCTTGGAAAGTCATCAATGTATGGAGTTAATCTTATTGTGCTCAATTTTCATTTGAGCTCAGTGGCTTATGCAAACAGTGACCTCATTCCAGATGTGATAGAGGAGAAAGAATCACTTACGTCAGGGAACAAGGCCTTGTGTCTGGGAGTAGAGAGAGCTAACCGTGGAGGACCAGTGGCTGGTGACTGAGTCTGGTGGTTTTGGGAACACAAATCATTTGCCTCTGGCTTGAGGTAGTGGGCCATCTTTTGGACTGGAGGATGTGGGGATACTTTCCGGTAGTTGGCATGTCTTGACAAGTCCCTTGATGTATCTCACATGGAGCAGAAATAGCAGCAGTTGCATGGATCAGAGTTACTGGACTTCAGCTGTTCCATTGGGCCTTGGCTAGGAAGTATCACTTTATTGGCTTCAGACCTGCTTAGCTCATGTGTAGATTGTAATCTTTCATTTCTTTAAAAGAAAATTTCCTGTATACAAGACAGAGTGGCTGGGAGACACACTGTCACATCCCTTTTCCACAAGGATTTTGAATATTGCTTCCTCGATATTACCTAGTGGTTAAGGCACCATCATAGAAACTTATTTCTCAGATGGCACTTGGGCAACTCAAACTTGCTTGTATAGAAACTTTAACTTCCTTATACCTTGTCTAGAAAAAGCCTTGTCTCTCAAAGGAGGGCAAGGGGAAAATGGTGACAAAGCCTCTAGCATCCTGGCACTCCATACCCACTAAGTGCCTCCCCACCTCTGCTTCCACAAAAAAGCAAAGGCAGTGACCAGCTTGGCTCAGGGCAGGTCCCCCTGCAGCTGGGTTTGTGACTTTTTTTGGTCTTAAATGTTTTTAAAGGCTAGCTCTTGAGGGGTTTAAACCTAAGCAGTTATGGGGGGGGTCCTTCCTAATGCACTGTTCTTTCTCTCCCCCCCACAAATCTCTTTACTAGGTATTTGATTTTCATAACAAAGGGTCATGGTGATTCTTCCAAGGCCATTAGCACTCCAAGGTGGTCCCAGACCCCTGAGAGATTCTATTGTGATCTTCCTGAAAATTAAAAAGTAAATAAGAAAGACTACCTAAGGAATAATTTGGCCATCAGTACCATCCCCACCAGCACATCAGGGCTCCCGGCCTCAAGCCGCTTGCTCTAGTTGCTTAGCACTGTGCCTCAGCCAGGCCCCCGAGGCTGGGCACTCCCTCCACCCACCCACCAGCCACCCTAGTCCACTCACTGCAGTTTTTTGATCTTTCTCCATTTCACAACATGGTGCCTAGGGATCTTTTTCTTTGGGATTGATGCAGTTGCTTCTGGGTTAGCAGTAAGTACTAACAGCATCTGTTCATTAAAAAAAACCCTTAATATATGCCACCAGGAGTTCTCCTGAGCCCTGCGCCCCTCTGGCATTGCATCCTGAGCAGATTGAGGCATAAACGGTCCTTCTCGTATACCAGAGGGTGACGTGTGTCTGCGCAGTCAGGCCTTGTAAGGGTTGACCACTTGCCACACACACCCTGCCATTTCCCAGGGATCTCACTCTGGACTCCTCTGCAAGGGAGGGCAGTGTTCCAGCAGCTGCTGTGCTCTCGTGACCACCTCCATGAACATTTCTGCTGCACTGGGTCTGTCTAGGAGTAAACAGGGTCTAAGAAGGTACAAGTAAGGGACTAGGCTGACCTCCAGTTAAAGCTCCAATTCACTCTGGATAGGCTGACCTCCAGTTAAAGCTCCAATTCACTCTGGAACACGGGGCAACAGGAGAACGCAAGATCCTGGGGTTTTCATAGTGGTGTTGATTTGCCTGTTTATGTCCATGAACTGCGGGTACAAAGAAACGGCCCCTGCCGGCAGCCGGAAGAGGGTCCATCACCTCGATATCCCAACTTAGTTCACTGGAAGTGTGCACTGATGGTGCATATTCAGTGTTGATTCTCAGTGTGAGTAACCATCTTTAAGGTCAGAAATATGCAGTGATGGTAACGTCTGTCGGAGTGGTTACTAAAGATCATAGCCTTAACTTTTTTGTATGCAAAAGATAGAACTTATTCCCCTGCTCAGTGAGCAAGCATGGCCTGTGTTTCTCAAAAACAAGTTCTTCCATGGCAGCCCAGAAAGCATCGCAAAGGAACTTACTCTTCTGATGCATCTCTTCCGATTTCACCTGCCTCCTGTGTGACCCAGTCACCTCTTCCATTTTCATATTTAAACCAGTTCTGCATCCCCAGTGAGTTGCCCTGACAATGTCGTCGCCAGTGTCAGCCGCGTTAGGGCTGGAGTCCCTCGGATTGGGAGCTTGCAGCACCACCCGGCCAACATTGCCTTTGCCAGTCCACTGCCGCCATCCCCGCCATTGCCCTAAGGTGCGCAGCTGAGTCCCAACAACCATTAGAGAGCCAGCGTGATGAGGCACCCCATCCGGATTGGCCATCTGAGCAACAGGCACTTGTCTCTGAGGTTCTTGCTTTTGCCAACTCTAGGCCTCCGGGAAAGCCCTGTCTAGAGATTGATGGCCAGGGACTCCCAGTCTTCCCTATGATGGGTCAGCAGGAATTGAAATGAGATTCCTATGGTTTTGTTGTCTTGTTTGGGGGAGGGGGGAGGGGGAGAGGGAGGGGTGGCTTTGTTTCTGAATAAGAAAAAGAGGAAACCACGGCCCTTGTGAGGGTTTGCAGAGTTTTGAGCAGTTTTTAGCCACAAATAAAGAATCTTGGAAGTCTTCGATCAATTAAGCAGTCTTAAAAACATGTTTCTCATAACTCCTTTTGCAGGTGACTGAGTGCAAAAGAATAGGTTTCTCCATTGTATTCAAAATAGTAAGTAGGTTCCCTGGATACAGACAGTAGTAGTTGACACATTTCCTCAAAAAGCAACCAGGACGTCCACTCTAGTATTTGTAGATCAGCTTACAAAGGAAAAAGTGAACGTGTACTCCGTATGTTTTTAGTTTCGTTACCAAACTTGATGTTCTAAAGAAACCTCAGTTCTGTGGACAGAATTTCTTTTGTTACTTTCCTCCTCTTTCTCTTCACAATCATATTTCCAGTGCCATCACCACCTTCAGAGTCTCAGAGCAGAGGGTTATCCATGGTAATAAGTAGGGGTGCCGTGCACTCATCCCAATCACACACACAAGAGGACAGCTGTCCCGACTGCCTCTTCCCTGCAAACCCCCTCTTTCAGGGCAGGTGAGACATTTTCAGTATTCTTCATGAGCTCCAGACCAAATCCCAGGCCAGCCCTTGCACCGAAAGCTTTTTTTTAAGAGGCTTGTCAATCTGTTAGGAACGTCTCAGGAGAGATGCGCCATTTCTTTGGGGGGAAATAGATTTACAGATGGGTGTGTGTGGTTGCCTTGTATGCCTGTGTGTGTGTGTGTGCGCGCGCGCACACACACACTCAGGCGCTCGGGCGTGTTCTCATCTGTGCATTTCACTTCCATAAAGACACAGCCCAGGCTGCTGGGACCACGTGTTACTGAATATTCTCAGAAGTAAACAGGTAACAAGTGAGCTTCTCAAATTAGTGTCACAGCAAGCTGGCTCTAGGAATGAGCCCCATTTATCGAGCAGAAGAGTAAACAGAAAAGATAGAGATGAAACCAAAAATATAACCACCCCAATGGAAAATAATGTTGATTCATCAATTCCCATTGGATATATTACATGCTCTAATTTATTATATTATTTTTTTGTTTGTTTCTTTAATCTTTGCCCATTGTACTTTTAAAAAGATGTTGGGATGTTGACTGCAATTTTTTTAAGACTAGATGATGTATAAATCAGCTGTGGAAATCAGTTTTAATTGCTGTGTGGATGTGTCTGATTATTGTTAAATGCCTTTTTTTTTTTTTTTTTTTACTTTTTATTTTAGATATGTGATGTTGTTTCATAAACCCTGGCACTGGTCACAAAGCTCAGCTGTGAAAAATGAAACTTGTAGTATTTTTAAACATGAATGTCAATTTCAAGTGTATTTGAAATGGTTCCTCCGGGAGAGAGATTTGTACACCATTAGGAGAAACTCCTCTGCAGAGGAAGTAGCCTTTTTTGGAAAAAATGGAAAATGGGTCTTGATATGTTATCTCAGAGTAGCCCATTTCCTAGGGCACCATGGAAAACACAAATGTGATCTTTAAGTATACCTCTTCCCCAATTTGGGGAAGAAAGGACTCAGTTTGCACCCTTTTTGTATGTAAAATAAAATGTCTTACCTTTCTTGACTAATTTTCTTTGGTTAGTTGGTTGGTTTGTCTGGTTTTAATTTCCCCTGGTTCGTTTGTAACTAAGAATCCAGCTAGGATTAACTTTGATATGACTCAACGAATGAATATAATGCCTGATACTTTGGCATTCTTGCTTCATTCCTTTGGGTTGAACATTGCTCTCTCCTGTCAGTCACTTTAAATATTCCTGGCAGAACTTGGACATTGATGACTCACATACTGGTTCCTGTATCCCTGTGGTTCTTAGGTGCTAGAACATCAGGAAGTTAAGATCTATGTGGAACAGCTTTGGAATAGCTTTGTAATTCTGCTCTACCAAATGAACATCTATACAGATGGAGGATAAAACTATGATGTGCAATTATAAAATCACAAGTGTGTATGTGTGTGTGTGTGTATGTATATATATATCCATAAAACAACTGTCAATCCGCATGATTGGCTGGTTCCAATTTTTTGTTACTAAATTACTAGATTTGTTTTTTTCACTGGTAGATAAGTAAGCAGAAGACATGTTTTAAGATCATCATGAGAGGAAAAACTTCACATTTAGAACATTTTATCCATCAAGCTTTTTTTTTCCTTCCAAAAGTGGCGGGGGTGGGGGACTACAGAGGAGGCTGCTTTTATGCCATTTTAGCGTTAGCTCCTCACGTGGAGAAGGCTCCTTTGAAAACATTGAACATTTTCCCAATGGCTATGGACAGCATCAGACCAGTCAGTGGGGAAAGAGGCCTGACTAAAAAAAAAAATGGTGGGGGGTGGGGGATTGGAGGATCAACTTTGTCAGTGCAACAGTTTTACCTAGAAGAACCTTTAGCAGATCGAGGTGGTCTGGATTGAGGTGTGAGGATTAGAAACAGCAAATGTCGTTTGTGTTTCTCTGAGACACCTGTGGAAGCTTTGCAGCCTGGCTGCATTGACCTCAGTGTAAGCAAGGACAAGTTAATGCCAGTGGCCATGCATAACCTTCAACTTAGGTCCCGACCTCATAAAGAGACCAAATTGCAGGGTTCAACTAATTGAAACGCCATTCCTACCTACAATTGGGGCTGTGAAGACCAAGAATTTATTAATCTTTGAAAATTGGTTTTAAAGACATTTAATGTCATAGGTCTACATTTTAGAAAGATGTGTGTAATTTTTATTTTTCTGGGTAAGACTCCCAGTGATGAAGTATATATGTTGCAGACTGGAACAAGTGTGAGAGCATCTGACAACTATCCCTGACCTTCCTGAAGTTTTCTAGAAAAGAGAGACTGAACCTCAGGCCGTTTCAGGTATATATAATTTCCTACCTCAGTGTTAATATGATGCTATTGCAACCAATATTTGTTGGACATTTAGCCCTACAGCAGGGTTGGGGGAGATGTATACAAAATAAGTGCAACACATGAAATACAGTGCGTTGCTCACAAAAAAGGTGGTTAGTTGGCGGCGCCTGGTTGGCTCAGTCGGGTGAGTGTCGGACTCTTGATCTCAGCTCCGGTGTTGATCTCAGGGTCATCAATCCAAGCCGGTATTGGGTTCTAGGCTGGGAGTGGAACCTACTTAAAACAAAACAAAACAACTGTTTACTTGGAAAAATAGGTAAAGGAAGGAAGTTAACCAGAGAATAATAAAGTGTGCATTGACTCAGTACTTACTGTGCAGTAAGCACAGTAAGACCAGAGGAAAAACAGGGACTAAAGTGGCAGGGACTAAGTCAAAAAGGAAAGGTTTTGAAGCAAGTTTTGCAAGACAAGTAGAAAGTGCAGTATAAGGTCATACTCTGGGTTAGCAGAAGCATGCCCCGAGTTTTGGGGAGCTACCATACTTAAACCCAAGCTAGTGGTTGCTAAGGCTTGACTGGCCCAATTCGGAAACTGACAAGCGCCTTCTCCCCCATCCACGGACTTCCTAACATAAACTAACCTCCCCGAAGGCCTCCCCCTCCCCAAAGGCAAGAACGGGCCACGGGAGCGGCCGCTCTGCATGCTGGGGTTTGTAGTCTCCTCGGAGACCCAATCCGTGTGCTCCTCGGGGCGGTGCCGCCTTCCGTGATCCTTTTCCTGTTGGTGGGCGTTGGCGAACTGGGGAGCCAATGAGGCCACAGTAACGTGGCAGCCACCCACGAGCCCGCGTCTTGGCTAGCCCTGACGGCGGGCTGGGCCACGCCCCCCGCGAGGTCCTACTACCCGGCGCCGACTCAGAGGGGGGAAATAAAGACCACCTTCTGCCAGGAGGCGGGCAGGAGCCCCGGTTCCCCCCCAGCCGCTCTGGGTGGTGGTGCCGGTGCCCACGCCGACGCGTCCCCACCCTCTTCCGGCCCTCGGCTACCGGGGCCGCGCTCTCTTCGCTCGGTGGATGCTGCGCCTCTCCGAGCGGAACATGAAGGTGCTCTTCGCCGCCGCCCTCATAGTGGGCTGCGTCTTCTTCCTGCTGTTGCCAGGTCCCTCGACGGCCGACGAGAAGAAGAAGGGGCCCAAAGTCACCGTCAAGGTCCGTCCTCCCCTCTCCCGACCTGCCTGGCGAAGCCCACCCCCCGGCCCCCACGCCCCACCCGTCGCCCGCGTCCCGGCCTCGGCGCCGCAAGTCACCGGTGTCCGAGGCATTTAAGCTCCCGGAGCTCAGGCCTGGGCGTCCTCGGCTTTGGCTCAGCCCCTCCCTAGTTCCCGGCTGTGGCCTCGTGGCGTCCGGGCGGTCCTGCTCATTCAGACCAGAGAATGCCCGACTCCTCGACACCCCAGCCCCAGCCTTAACCCAGGAGCGGGCGCCTGTGCAGCCGGGCTGGCACTGTCAGCCTCAGAGCAGTCTTTCTGCGAATACCGTCCAGCGCTGGGGAAATGGTGAAAGATCACGTCTGGCAAATTGTGAATCTTTTCTTTACTTGGGCCAGATGTTACCCACTTGCAATTACAAAGAACAGCAATCTAGTTGAAACTTGTATGATGCTAAGTTAGATTCTCCTCCTTCATGGTTTTTGGATGTTCATTTCTAGAATCTGCGCTATTTTTAGACTAAAGGTTGTTTGCTACCCTATAGTTTAAAGGGAGTGCAAACAAACATTTTCTGGGGAAAGGGTCTGGAGCCTTCATTAGATTCTCATAGGGTTTTTGTCACCACCGAAATCAGGTTCAGAACCACTGCTCTCAAAATATGGTTCTTTTCTCTTCCACCTTTGTGGTAACTTCTGGGGCTCTCGCTTCCCTGGCAAGACCCCTTCAAAAAGGCTGAGTTGAAATGGTCTTCTTCCTCAGGTGTACTTTGACCTGCGAATTGGAGATGAAGATATAGGCCGGGTGGTCATCGGTCTCTTTGGAAAGACTGTTCCAAAAACAGTGGATAATTTTGTGGCCTTAGCCACGGGAGAGGTAAGTGGCTGGAGCAGAGGTAGTTGAACTCAAGTGAAGTTGGCAAGTAGAGCTAACAGCGAACGGATGTGCAGAGCGGGGCCTGTCTGTAGCAGTAGCCCTCACCGAGTACCAACAGCTCACCGCTCTCCTGCAGCTCTGGGAACCTGGTATTATCATAGCTTCTGGAGGTTTTAAAACTAAATCCAGAAATATGGATTTTATTTATTTATTTGTTTATTTTTAAGAAAATTTTTCACTTTTAAGGCATTGCAGTAATCAAGGAAAACATATCCATGGAAACTAGTTTGTGGCTTGTGCACCAGAACTTTCTCTTAAGGGTAAGGGGCCCAGAGCTTCCCAGGTCTTAAAGAAACAGGAGTGCCCTGTTTAAGAAAGTTTGTATTCCTGGGGCGCCTGGGTGGCTCAGTTAAGCGTCTGCCTTCGGCTCAGGTCATGATTTCAGGGTCCTGGGATCAAGCCCTGCATCGGGCTCCCTGCTCAGCGGGAAGTCTGCTTCTCCCTCTCCCACTCCCCCTGCTTGTGTTCCCTCTCTTGCTGTGTCTCTCTCTGTCAAATAAAATCTTAAAAAAAAAAGTTTGTATTCCTCTTAACTCTAAAGAAGAAAACTGGGGGTTGCCAGAGGGGAGCTGTGGGGGGATGGGTGAAACAGGTGACGGGGATTAAGAGTACACTTACCATGATGAGCACTGAGTGACGTATAGAATTGAGTCACTGTATCGTACACCTAAAACTAATATAACACTGTATGTTAACTCTACTGGAATTAGAATAAAAAATTATCAAAGAAAAAAAAGTCTGTATTCCAACTTTGCAGTGACCTGGCAGGTAACTGTTGTTTTTTTGGTCCGTTTTCTTGCATCTGTTCTTAGGATTAGAAAAAGAGCAGGGAAAGGTGGAGACATTATGTGAAGTGGAATTGTATAAAAGCAGAGGAGTGTGCAGTCTTAGCCTTTCCTGGGTGTGTGTGCTCCGCGCCTGGCCTGCTGGTAACTGCTCACTCAGCAGGTCGAATGATGAATCTGAATCAGCAGTGGTGTCTCTTCTGGGAGCAGGAGCTGTGGGCTGGGTTCCTGCAGGGTCTACTTAATATCTGCTTGGTGTCTCATGCTGCTTCTCACCTTCTTCCCTTTTCTAGAAAGGATTTGGCTACAAAGACAGCAAATTCCATCGTGTGATCAAGGACTTCATGATCCAGGGTGGAGACTTTACCCGGGGAGATGGCACTGGAGGTAACCTCATGTCCTCTGCAGCAGGGTCTGTTGGTGCAGCCTCCAAGCTGGGAAGGCTGGGCTGTGCTGGGCAGACGAGGCCTCCTGCTTGCCCAGCTCTGGAGGCAGGACTGGCACCCGCACGGGGACCAGCTGCAGCCTTCTTTGTAGAAGGACCCCAGGACAAAGAGGAGAATGGTGGGGGGATTGTGTGGCTTTCACCCCGCCAGCAGGCCTGCCGGTCGGGGCCTACAGCCTTGGTGACTTTTCTCTCGGGGTACCCTCTGGGGGGAGGGGAAGCAAAGCTAAACACGTGGGTCAGTGACTCTAGGTCAGGCTCTGTCAGGTTGTTTACCATCTAGGTGGGAGGAGCCAGGGGAACATGACGTGGAAGCTATAGAACAGTAGAGAATGTAAGTGATGGCCATCGGCAGCGGTGCCTGAGAAAGAGCAGACATAATACAAAGCACTGTATGCATGGGGTCGGACACAGTTGGGTGAGATCTGCCATCTTCGTGCTCTGTGACCTCAGGCAGGTGAGTCCTCTGAGCTTCAGTTTCCTCTTGTGTAAAGTCAGAGTGGGAAGAGTTGGGGTGCTGCATGGTAGGTGCCCAGCATATGGTAAGTCAGCCACTGTCGAGGTGCCAACAAGCACAGGAGTCGCTTCAGGCCAGGCTGATCAAGAAGTGGCCTTGTGAATGTGAGGAAAGATTTGGGCAGGGTCCTGGCCGGGGAGAACTTGGGCAGAGAGGCAGGGCTAAGGTGAACCCACCTCTGTTCTGTGGCAGGAGCTTGGCTGAAGGTGGGGTCCAGAGATGGAGAGCACACACCAGACCGGGGCCCTGAGTGCTGGGCCGTGGCTGGACCTGGGAACCTGGGTTTGTCCTACACTGAGGGAGGACCCACGGAGGGCTTGAATGGGAGGAAGACCCAGGCGCAAAGGAGTTTGAGGGAAGATAATGCGGCAGTTTTTCTGGGTGTAAAATGCTCGTGTCGGTTCTCTGGCATACACCGTTGGCACTCTGAACATTAGTCGTTACTGCAGTGGGAGTGGCAGGAGTGGAGAGGAGGGATAGATAATGTGGGTGGGAACCTCATGGACAGTGTGCAAAGGAAAAGTTGTCAAAAGAATAATTGAAGGGGCGCCTGGGTGGCTCAGTTGGTTAAGCGACTGCCTTCAGCTCAGGTCATGATCCCGGAGTCCCGGAATCGAGTCCTGCATCGGGCTCCCTGCTCGGCGGGGAGTCTGCTTCTCCCTCTGATCCTCCCTCCTCTCATGCTCTCTCTTTCTCTCAAATAAAATCTTTAAAAAAAAAAAAAATTGAAGTCTGGAGGGAAAGATGACGAAATCAGTTGAATTTAAAATGAAGTTACCCGTTTGAGTTTGGGATTCCTTATGTGTTGGGAAAGTGATCAGAGCCAAGGATGGAGATGTGGAGTTTTCTGGAGAGCAACACAGCTGAAATCCTGCTGTCACTGGAGATTTAGAAAGAGGACTCTCACTGAGGAGAGACTCTGAGCCAGCACTCGAGCCCGGAGTTGCCGCAGAGGGTTGGGTTGCTCCCTGGCCTGGGCATGAGATGGCACCCCCCCCCCCCCGTGTCTAGTGATTGTCAGGTTTAGCCTTCCCCACCTGCTACGTAGTCAGAAATGCCTCCCTGATGAGCAGCGGGTCCAGGACAACTTCCAAAGCTGGGTCCCTCTGTGGAACCACGGGATGCAGATAGGTACAAGTTGTGTATGCAAGTGAGTTTGAGAGGTATTGGGTAAAACAAAATGAAGCTTGTCACTGGGTTTCTCCAGGGCCTATAGTCACTAGCACACAGTGTGAATCTCCTGAGAGGAGACAGGGAGAAAGAAGGGGCAGAAGCAGCTCTGGGAACTTAGATGAGGATCTCTGAAATGGTGGCAGGGTCTGCCCAGCTCCCTTTGTCGTGTACCCTGGCCTCAGACCCCTCGTGGATAGACATACCACACACATCAACATCCAGCTTTTATTTTGTGTTCATTGATAAGAGGCTCTTGATTATCCAGAACCCAAGGGGGCAGCCCCTCGCCACTCATCTATCTTCTGTGCTGTTAGGAAGAAAAGCTGGTCAACCACAGCTGTTGTCCTTTTATGGAGAGTTCTTACCTCCCCTGCCCTCTGCATAGCACCTCTCTACCCGAGTACCTCAGAGTTCCTGTGGCAGACCTCCCAGGCCACCACCAAGGGTAGCTGTTGATGTTTGCCTTATTTAAAAGCCACTAACTGTATTCCTCGAAATAATTGGGTGAGCTGTTCACTAAATCAGCCTGGCCTCATGCCCCACTTGGTCTGTCAGCATGGTTTGGCTCCAAGACCAGAGGGTAGGAAGGAGACAGCATTTAATGTCCTTATAATCCACTGGAGCCTGGCCTGACGCCAAAGACAGGTTGAGTCCCTGGAATCCTCACCCCAAAGATCTGCTTGGTTTGGGCCAACTCAGCTCCCTGAGTTTCTTTCTTCCCAGGAAAGAGCATCTATGGTGAACGCTTCCCCGATGAGAACTTCAAGCTGAAACACTACGGGCCTGGCTGGGTGAGCATGGCCAATGCAGGCAAAGACACCAATGGCTCCCAGTTCTTTATCACGACCGTTAAGACGGCCTGGCTAGATGGCAAGCACGTGGTGTTTGGCAAAGTTCTGGAAGGCATGGTGAGTTTGGGGGGCAGGGGCTAAACCTGGGCAACCTTCATCAGGAAATGGACACCCCAGGGCAGGGGTGCCACCTAGTTTATCCCTTTCCCAACAGGGAGCCCACAGATTTCCCCGTGTTCACGTGCACAAACCCTACATCTCCGCCCCCAGGTTCTCAGTTCTTCAGCCTGCCCAGGTGCAGGAGCCTCTGTTTCACTCACTCACTGCTAGGCTCCACCCCCCTCAGTTGTGCAGAACCCAGCCAAACACTGTGTCCCTGCGAAGCTACTTGGTACCCACTCCACAGCCACCCTCTTCCCCCTCGCCCTTAGCTCAGCCCGGTCCCACTGCAGAAGATCAAAACTACCCCATCTTGTCAAAGCTGGGCTCTCCCTGCCCAGGGTTCCGTTAGGATTTTGGTGCCTCAGGGTTTGCATGCTGCTCGTCCCATGGGGGTCTCAGCCTTCCCCGGCCATATTCTGGGGCCTTTCTCCCTTGAGGGGTGGACCTCCGGACTCACGCCGCTCTACTGTTTCCGCCTGCCTTCCCAGGAGGTAGTACGGAAGGTGGAGAGCACCAAGACTGACAGTCGGGACAAGCCCCTGAAGGATGTGACGATCGCAGACTGTGGCAAGATCGAGGTGGAGAAGCCCTTTGCCATCGCCAAGGAGTAGGGCCCCAGGGACCTCTTCCTCTGAGCCACCATCTGTGCGGCCCTGTTGCCTTCCCGCGGGTGAAGACCGCCCGCCGCAGGGCTCCATGCTGCACTGGCCCAAGTGCTGGCATCTGACGGAGCGGACCCCTCCCCTCACATTCCACAGGCCTACCTACCAGCCTGGTTTTGTAACAAAGTCCTACCAATGCTGACGAATTAAAAAAAAAAAAAAGGTGGGTTTTTTTATAACCAGTGTGTGGGCTGGGTTCTTGGGCCTGCGACACCTGCTCAAATCCCAGTCGCAGCATGTCTGGGACTCTTGTGGCTGGGAGTGCGTGTCCCCCCTTCTGCGGCTCTGGTCGGAACCCAGTTTCCCTGATAACTACCCACAAGTAGCAAGCAGGAGCTTTTGCTTCTAACCTTTGCCACTAGGGTGCCTCAGCCTTTGCTTGTCCCCTGCCCCCCTGCTGGTGTAGGGGAAGAAATACATCTCTACCTTGTCGAAGCCTACCTCTAAATGGACTTCTCCCTTTATTCCCTATCCCCTGTTGTCCCTGCCCTGGCACCTCGGGTAGGTTAGTCCTGGGTCTGGGCCAAGGGGGACCCAGCCTTCTCTGAGAAGAGGGCACATAACACTGAGGCACGTGCCTGTCCTGGCAGGTGGCCCCTTAGGCCTCTGGGCTGGTCAGGGCATGGGTGGCAGGGTGACAAGATGCCTCTCCCTGAGCTTCAGCTGGCCTGTTGCTGAAGCCGTAGAGGCCCTGGAGCACGCCATTCACCACCACGTTGGGCAGAGGCTCTGTGGGACAGAAAGAAAACAGGAGGAAGGGGTAGGGGACTGCAGGGGAAGAAAAGGAGGGTGGGCCTAGCCTCAGGCCTGTAGTTCCTTGAGCTCCTGAGCCCATAGGCTCAGCCCCCTCCTCAGGAAGAGGTCATAGGTAACAGCTGGCCACCCCCGGTGAGGCCTTGGCATGCCCCGCTCACATTCTGTTCACATTAGCTTGATAAGCCAGGTTGGCGAGGAATTGAGACCAGGAGAACCAAGGTTATTTTGCCACGTCCGCTTTCAGAAGAATACAAAGCAGGCTACCGGAGCAGCAGGGCAGGTGTGGCCCCAAAGGAAGGCAGCAGGCACGAGATGCTGCCTGGAGGTCCTGAGCTGAAAATGTCAGGTTCACCCCCGACTCCCACCCTGGTACCTAGGCCCTCACCTGGGGATGGGCTGCAAATGTAGGGATCCCTGTGGAAGCTGAAGACAGGCCGGTGGCGCAGCTGGGAGCTAGGAGGTAAGAGTCCTGAACAGTGAGGGAGAGGTAGAGACCAGGGATTGAGATCACGAAGAGGCGAATGGGAAGTGGGCTCAGGAGGCACCGACAGAAACCGGGATTGGGATTGGGATTGGGATTGGGATTGGGATTGGGATTGGGATTGGGATTGGGATTGGGGGGTGGGGTAGGTCAGACAACCGCAGGCCGCCTCTTGGCGCGCGGCCACCAGGGGGCAGCAGGAGCGGGGCGGCAGGGGCTTCGACTTGCCTGCTGTCATTGGGCAGGAACTCCCCCAGGGCGCTGAAAAGGGGAGACGCGCTGTGAGCTGCGGTTGGTGGGGGCGGGCGCGCGCGTGAGGAAGGGGTGGAGACACGCAAGCCCAGCTCTTAACCTCCCAGGGGACCACTGCTTCTATTTGTAACAAGCTCAGTTCCGGATCTGGCGGCGGTAACCAAGATTGTCCAGAAAATAGCCCCTCTACCCCCGGTCAAGAAAGCTAAGGAGGTCACGTCTCAAAGCAGCAGCACGCTGCGGCCTGGCCGATGTAAGAAGGAAGGGAAAGGGCTTGGCTTCTCAAACCTTTTCTCACCTGCTTGCTGCAGAGAGACCCTGTCCCCCCAGCACTGGGGCCCCTCTCTTGCCCAGCCATGGCCCCCCAGAGGAGCTCACCCCCAGCTGCTAGCCTTAGGGTCTGTGGGGAAGTGCCGAAGATTCAGGAATTCCAGTAACTCCTTGGGCACATCCTGGTTCAGGTACAGGATACCCTGGAGAGATCAGAGGGAACCTGTAATCAGACCCAGCTGCCTAACATACAGAGCCCAGTGCAAAATGGAGAGGCGGGGGCCTTCCAAAATGACTAAGAATTTCAAGAGCGAGCAGAGCATTATTAAGCCAAGTTTGGGGCCCTTCTGAGCACTGGGCCCTGGGTGACTCATGGGTTGTAAGCCCAGGAAGCCAACCTGGCCTGGAATCTGGCATCACTGTGTGGGGAAGAGGGGGTAAGGGTCCCCACCCAAATCCTCAGCATTGAGGGTAGCACAGACCCTCACCCTGGGGGAAAGAGAACTAGCTTTCATTGAACTGAAACCACCTGCCTCGTGTTACCTCATCCCATTCTATCAATACAGAGGGCTGTTTGGACCCATGATCGTTCAGAATATTGAGGCTTGGGGTAGTAAATAGCATGCTCAAGATGTGGGTCCCCTTCACTCCCTACCCGCCCAGCTCTCTGTCTGGGCCACACCTCTGGTCAAGCAGCCTAGGGGGCAACAGAGTGAGCCCCGTGCACACCTGGATATAGGCTTCCAAGCCCTGACGCCGCTGCTCCAATCCTCTGGTCCTCCAGTTAGGCAGGCGTTTTGAGGGGAAGTCGGGCACTTTGTACAGTTTCTTGATCTGCCAGGAGGTTACCGCGGTGCCATCACAGTATTCCGATTGAGTCCTCAAGCTCACTGCGCCCCAGTCTCTCCCGGTCCTCCCCGCCCCCACCTCCAGGCTTCAGGCTCTACCCTGGGGCAGACGCTAGTGAGTGGATGGTTGGGACGGGGGCGAGAGAGACCCCAGCCCCCCCGCCCCCCAAACGCCCGAGGGCCGGCCGGCCACGCGTTGGCATCGACAGTACAGGCTGGGCCCTATCCCCTCTGCATCCACCCCGAAGCCCGCAGGGAGGTCTGTGCCCAGGACCGGAGCCCTCCAGGGACTGGGGCGGTAATGGTGGCAGAGGCTGGGCCCGCAGTTCGCCCGTCTCCCAGGAGCCGGGCCGGGGTCGGTCGGTCGGCGGCGCAGCCTCACCCGCTTGTGCAGCGCGTGGAACTCGCTGTAGCGCCTCTGCACGGTGTGCCTGCGCCCGCGGCACAGCACTTCCACTCGGAACACCTGGCGGGCGCGGGCGGGCGGCCAGGTGCGCGTGAGGCCCCGCGGGAGGGCTCCGCAGGATCCGCGTCTGCAACGCGCCCGCCCTCCCGCGCTCAAAGGCACAAAGCGGCCTGGGAGCCCCGCCAATCTCCGGGGACCCTCCCACGCTCCCCACACCCTTGGGGAGATGCGGAGGCCGGACCCGCCCCTCAGCTGCGTGCAGTCCCTCGTGAACCCGGACCGTCGTCCACAGCGCTGGCAAATCCAAGCGGCCCGAGACCCTCGGCAGACGGTCTCCGGACGGCCTGACCCGCCGCGCTCCGATGCTGCAGCCCGGGCGCGGGATCCCCACTGCGCTTGGCGCGGGGAAATCCGGCGGGTCCCGTGCGCCTTCCCAGCCAGTGTCCCCGCTCACCATGTGGCCTTTCTCTGGGTTCTGCCTGGGATCCTCGGGTCCCACCGACGGGATGTGAACTTCCAGCATCCGCACACCCGCTCCAGCCCCTCCGAGCGCGACGCTCCGAGCAAGACCTCTCTCAGCTCAGACCACCGACCCCGGCGGGGGCCCGCCCCCTTCGGGCCCGCAGGCCCCGCCCCTAATTGGCCCCGCCCCGGGCGTTCCCTCGCGCCGCGCGGTGCTGCGAGGGGCAGATTAGGCAGCGCGCGGGGAGGCGGGGGCCGAGCACCGCCCCCTGCGCCTAGTGGGCCGCAGGTGGGGACCCTTCTGCGGACAGTCATCCGTTTGTCAACATTTACTGAGTTGATTGCCACGAATGCAGAGGAGCCAAAATTTCACCTACTCTTTATTGAGCGCCTAGTAAGGACTAGGGTCTGTGGGCGCTGGACATGGAGGGAGGCAGGCCCAGACCTCGGCGCCTACCTTGGGGGCCAATCAAGGATGTACTTTGCATTCCTCACACCCATCCCTGGGACCAGGCTGCCCCCCATCCCCTTCCCGACACCTTTCACCTGGACCCTGGTTGCGCAGCCACACCTGGGGAGGACTGGGGCAATCTGGCTTTGATGTCCGCCTCTCCCAGCATCCACAAGCCCCTTCACTCATTTTTTTTTTCATCCATGCATTTATCTTTCAGCCCCAACCTGCTTCAGGTCCAGTTTGCCGGGAAGAAGCAGGTTAAGGACCTGGGCTCTGCGTTGGGGGGCAGACAGCTTGACTTTCCTGAACTGTGTAGACCTGTTCTCATCTGCAAAATTGGGCTAATTGGCCTCCCTCAGGAGAGTGTATAAAAATTGAGACGATCCCTGTTAAGCCCCCAGCAGAGCAGGGGTTGAGAAGATGGCAGCCTGTGGGCTTGTCCTGCAGGCAAAGGTGGGTGGTGTCCGTGTACAGGGCAACGAATGGGGAAGAGGGACTGTGGGAGAAGGCACTAGGCTGTTCTCGCCCACCGCTTCAGGCAAGGCTTTCCTGGGTATGGGGTAGGATTTAATCCAGAACTCTCTCACCCCTTGGGCTAAAGAGGGCCTCTGCTCTCCCACTGAGCCCCCTACACTTCAGCCATAAGGGAGCTGTCCCATTCAGCAGAGTCCCATTCAGGACCCCACTGACTTCTCCCAACAAAGGTCTGGGCAGGCGGTGGAGGGCGGGGAGGCTAGAGGCCTTGTGGTGGGAAGGAGGAAGCAGAGCATCTGTTTTAGGGGTAGGGGCTGGTGATTGGGGGACCACTGACTCACTTCCTCCCCTGCTAGTGCAGAGGTGCTTCTGAGCTGGAGCAGAAACTCTCCCCACTCCCACCCCCAGCTCCACTCCCAGAGAGAAGCTGAGAGGATGACCCTAAAGGGGGCAAGCAGGTCTCACCAATACTATGTCCCACACTTTCTTCCCCCAAATTCCATCTCACAAAGAGCCCCAGAATCAGGAAGCTGAAACTTTCCGCAAGGGAAATGACCCACTATGAACAGAAGTGCTGGGGTTTCATTTCTTCCCTTGCGCTTTAGAGCCCCATCACTCAGAGACCTTGTTCTCCTTGTCTACTGGCCAGAGAGTCCTCTCCCAGGACCCTTAGGCCTCTAAACTTCTTGATCACCTGTCCTAATGACAGCCCTCTGTCTCTGTTCCTACCACCCAGAAAACTGCTACATCTCCTAATGGATCTCCCTGTTTTTCCTTGCCTCCCTCTCTCATACAAGGTCCATTCCCTAACTAGCAGCGCAAACCACCATCAATGCACTGCTTCAAGGCTTCAGAAGGCTTCTCGTTATACTGAGAACAAAACCCACCCTCCCTACCACAATCTACCGAGCTCTAAGTGACCCAGCCCTGCCTCCATCTCTCATCTCATTTCCTCTCCTTCCACTTCATGTACCAGGCTCCAGCCACAGTGACCTAGTTCTTCAAACCCAACAAGCTCTTTCCTGCCTCAGGGCCTTTGCCCTTGCTGTTTTCTCTCCCTGGAACACTCTTCCCTGACTCCTTACCTAGTGGGCTTAGCGCAAAAATTCCAATTCTTGGCCTTAAACCTCTTCAGAGACCTTCCTTCCTGACCACTTACCCTATCCTATCACCCTGTCTTCCATTACATAGTTAATGTTTGTTTATTGTGTGCCTCCCTGTTTTTCCTGACTTTGCCCCAGACTCTCATTGCCATCAGACCAGGAACCTGGTCTTGTCAGGGGTTGCTGCCATGATGCAGGAGACACTCAAAAAACATTTGTTGCTTGAAAGCCTCTATGACTGAATGGGGGAGAGGATGTTGGGAAAAGGCTGGGGAGCAGAGGGAAGGCCTGGGAGAGAGGCAGGAGGGAGGAGTTAGAGGAAGGTCTGCGGGGGTGGGGGGGTGGAGAAGGGCGGTTACCTTCAGAGTCGAACACCTCTCTTTCCCTCTCTCTGTGCGGAGGTTGTCCACCTTATTTGCTTAATTTTCAGGTGTTCCTGAGAAGCCTCAAATCAATGGATTTTCATCACCAGTTTTACAGGGAGATTAGATTCCCCTGACTTGTAAAACATTTGGTAGTGAACCCGCAGCTCCTAATTCCACAGTGTTCCACGGTACACGAGTGAAGATCCAAGTGAAGAAAGACAAGATCCTCGGCCTGGAGACATTTTAGCAGGTCTCTGGGAGGTAAGTTCTGGAGAATATTTTCCTGTAAAGAGGCATACATGACCTCCTGTAGACTCCAAAGCCCGTACTATACGGTCAAAGGGAAACGCTTATTTTCTGTAGTGGATGAACACGGAGCTAAGTTCCACACACTCTAGGATGGGTGTGTAGACCCTCAAAGCGACTGCTGTTTTCAGAATGAGTTTTACTGTACAAGCCTTTGCCTTTTCTCCATCACTCTCTAATGCATGAATTTCATTTCCAAGTTTCTGCGAGAAAGGGGCTTAAAAGCACTGGTTTTTTTGGCCAGAGTATTTCCAGATCAGACTATAGAGCAGTGGTTCCCAGGCCTCCACAGGCATCACCGTCATCATCATCACCTACAAGGCCCGTTGAATCGCAAATCAGCTCTGAGCCCAGTTTTCTGAGCGCGTGGGCGGTTTTCACCCCTTCCGGGGCGCTGCGGCCGCTCCTGGTTGGGGGCCACATTGCAGGCACCAGTCTCTTGCCTCCTGGGGATGAGGGTCACCGCCAAGCAGAGGGCAGCAAGGGCTGGGGGCACAAGTGTCCCCTCCCCGGCCCGGTCTGGGGATGGCGCAGGTGGGCTGGACCGCGGCTGCCGCCTTGCCTGGGCCCTGGCTCTCCCGGGCCCTCCGCAGCCGGCACACAAAGCCCCTTGCAATGGCCGGGCTTCCGCGGAGCCGCGGACGCTGCTCAGGAGGTGGCTAACCTCTTTTAAGAAAACAAGCAGCTCCTGGGCTGGTGGGCGCCCCCGGGCCCAGAGGCTGGATTCTTCCCGCCAGGCCTGCAGCCGGAGGAGGGAAACTAGCCCGAGGGGGCCCAGCCCCGCAACCCGCGACTGCGCCGCCTGATCGCTTCACCCTGGAGGCCCTGGTCACCTGGACAAGCTCAGACAGCTCCTTGCCCTCGGGGTTCTTATCTGCACAGCAGACCGTGGTGTGTGGATATTAAGACGTCATGCTTCCAAAATGTTTAGCAGGGGCCTGGCACACAGTAAATTAATGTTAGCTCTTATTATTTACTGAATTATACAATTTGCTCTTTTTGTATGTCACAATGGTAGGATATGGGCAATTACATATGGTTCATCCTAATATATTGTTGATTCAACTTTGAAACAACACAAATAAGCTTTACTCTTCCTCTTTCAGTATCCTGAGATTTTGAGGTTAGGTTAAAAAATGAACTATTTTAACTACTAACTCGGTGATCAGAAATTTCCTGATTTTGGGGCGCCTGGGTGGCTCAGTCGGTTAAATATGTCCCTTCGGCTCAGGTCATGATCCTGGGGTCCTGGGATTGAGTCCCACATGGGGCTCCCTGCTCAGTGGGAGTCTGCTTCTCCCTCTGCTGCTTCCCCTGCTTATGCTCTCTTTAAAAAAATTTCCTGATTTGGGGCGCCTGGGTGGCTCAGTTGGTTAAGCGACTGCCTTCGGCTCAGGTCATGATCCTGGAGTCCCGGGATCGAGTCCCACATCGGGTTCCCTGCTCAGTGGGGAGTCTGCTTCTCCCTCTGACCCTCCCCCCTCTCATTCTCTCTCTGTCATTCTCTCTCTCTCAAAAGTAAATAAAATTTTAAAAAAATTTCCTGATTTTGTCGATATTGTGCAACCAAAAAATGGCAGAATAAATTGGGAGCAGAGTATGGTGTAAATCAGCAACTATCCTATTCATCCTACCAACCTCCGAGTTCTTACTAATTGCCTTTCTAATGGGCACATCTTTTTTTTTTTTTTTAAAGATTTTATTTATCTATTTGACACAGAGAGATAGGGAGAGAGCACAAGCAGGGGGAGCGGCAGGCAGAGGGAGAAGCAGGCTTCCTGCATGAGCAGAGAGCCCGATGTGGGGCTCAATCCCAGGACCCTGGGATCATGACCTGAGCTGAAGGCAGCGGTTTAACCAACTGAGCCACCCAGGCGCCCCTGGGCACATCTTTTTTTTTTAAAGATTTTATTTATTTGACAGAGAGAGAGCACAAGCAGGGGCAGTGGCAGGCAGAGTGAGAAGCAGGCTCCCTGCTGAGCAAGGAGCCCGATGCAGGACTCGATCCCAGGACCCTGAGATCATGACCTGAGCCGAAGGAAGGCAGATGCTTAACCACCTGAGCCACCCAGGTGCCCCCTAATGGGTACATCTTTAATAAAATAGAACACCATACCTTTATGTTTTGAATACTGGACTTTGGTGTAGATGTCTACAAAAACAGTAGTGCTACTAAAACATCTTATTGAGGAGTCTAAACTCTTCATCTTACAGAGGAGGAAATGGAGGTGCGTGGGAGGGGAAGTGAGCCCTGGAGACAGTTGTGTTAGGAGAGCACCTTTGATGAGCGTGTCCTGCCACAGCCCGAAAAGCAAAGTTTGACTCAGGGTGGGTGCTTCTCAGGGAACACACAGGCTCTAGCCCTGGGGCTCCAGCCAGCAGTGTCACTACTAGGAATCCCTTACCCCCCCCACCCAGATGACAAGGACAGCTCA